ATAGTTATCAATATTATTATAATTACTCCGTAAAATAATTACAATAGTAACAATAATAATAATAATAATAATATTAATAATTATAATAAAAATAATAATTATAATCATAAATTATAACTATAATATAATTATAAGTATATTTATAATTACTAATAATTATAATTATATTAACATTAATTATAATATTATATTATAATAATAGTAATATAAATACAATTAATAATATTATAACGATATTATTATATTAATATTATTATTACAATAACATAATAATAATAATAATAATAATAATAATAATAATAATATTATAATTAGTATTATATTATTATAATATTATATTATAATTATAATTATAATCATAATTATAATTATGATTGTAATTATAATTATTATAAATATAATTAATTACAATTATAATTATAATTAATTATAGATATAATTATAATAATTACAATTGATATACTTATAATTATAAGAATTATAATTGTAAGTATAATTATAATTACATATAATTATAATATAATATTATAATAATATTAATCATATTATTATTATTATTATAATATTGTAATAATAATAATAATAATAATAGTCTTCTTAATAATTGCATTTATATTACTATTATTATATTAAAATATTATAACTATATTAATATCTTATTTTTTTTATCATATTATTATTAATATTATTAATAATAATTATATAATAATAATCATAATAGTAATAACAATATTAATAATAATAATTAATATAATAATAAAAGTGATAAATCATGTTTGAACTTTTCTGATCTGATCTGAATGTTTCTGATCTGGTCTGATCTGATCTGAATCTTTCTGATCTGATCTGAATCTTTCTGATCTGATCTGATCTGAATTTTTCTGATCTGATCTGATCTGATCTGAATTTTTCTGATCTGATCTGATCTGATCTGAATAAAATAAGAATAAGTAATAAGTAATAAGAATAAGACGAACAGAACAGCACCTAAGTACTGGCTTCACCTCAATTATCCTTTCTAGCCTATTTGGTAATAGGATTGATTTTAAAATCCTTCTCAGGCTTCACGTCGGATGGTCGAAACTCTTCTTGACTACACCCTTTGTTTAGTTTTTTGAAGTGCATTACCCGTTAAGCAGGGGCGGACCGTAGTACAGACCCAGGGGGGCGGTCGCCCCCCCAACAACAAATTTTTTTAGTGTATATATATAATAAAAAGCAATTTTCGCCCTCCCAAAAAATATTTTGTTTAAGTTACCGCCCCCCCCAAGACAAACTTCCTGGGTCCGCCCCTGCCGTTAAGGCTACACATTTTTTTAATACGGAGTATATTTCAAGTGCTATTCACCCAGGTTTTCAAAGGCAACAACGAACTCACTATTTTTTAAAGTCATATTGTTACTCCGTATTACTTAAAGTCGTTACGGAGTATTAAAGACTAACTCCGCAGTCCGTACATCATGTTATTATGCGTATTATTGTTCTTACTCGTATTATTATTTCTTTTGGAAGGTCTTACTCGTATTATTATTGTTACTATGGTGTAATTTTACTAGGTAGATTCTATGGTACCAAGGTACCATACCTTTGTCCACATGGACCAATGAGAATGTAGCAGTTGAGTTATTTAAATCTAAATTAAAAATGATAAAGTGATGTGGTCCAATCAAATGGGTGGTAGGTACAGTACCCCATTTTTTAGAAAGGTACCGGAGTTGTCACCATTTTACTATTCCCTCTCACCCAAAATTATTTACAAAGTCAAATTTATTGATTAATATAGTTTCACTTTACTTACTTATCCAACAAATCAATTTTTTATTATAGTTTAACTTGAACTTTGAGACTCTATGGAACAATGTATATTTCAAATATGTAAATTTTAATTATAAAAATGATTTAATTGTTTGCAGGGATGATATAACGTTATCATCGATAAAAAATTGAATAATATATTTCCAGTTTAAAATAATACTTCGTAATTTGAACGGACTATATAAAATAGACCAGTGTTGTATACGACCCGAACCGACCCGTTCTCATCCATGTGTTAGTGTCCCTGCTTTAGAAAATTTTTGGGTTCGCCACTGTATATGTGCATACACTGACCTCGGATGCCTAGATCCGCCACTGGATGTGTCACACCCCAAGTCTGAGAGGTGTGAAGTGCAGCATCTCTTCTTCTACGTATACTTCTTACTTTGGAGAAATGTGTTTAGTGATTCTTGGTCGGTTGTAATATATCTATGTTGTATGAATGATTTAGGCTTTCAATATATAGTTGGCTAATATTTTGGAATTATTGTGGCTCCAAAATATACTTTTGGGCCTTTGTGTTTTCTGACTTGCAAAATATACTTTGGGCCTTTGTTGTTTCCAACCTTGCAAAATATACTTTGGGCCTTTATTGTTTTCGACCTTATCTATAATGTCATTTACTTTATGTATATATTGTTATTTACTTTGTCTACAATACACCTATAAGGCTATAATACTCCTTAAACTATGTGAAAAGTCTAACCAGACAGATAAAGTGCTACGGAGGGGGAGTATGACAGGAATAAAACTAACACTAAAACTAGACTTAGACAGAGCAGAATAAATAAAACCACACTTCCATAGTTTTTTTAAATCAAATAACTAATTTAGGAAACCCTGCCCTTTTAAAGTAAATACTACCTCCATCCCATTTTGGAGTAAAGATACTCTGTAGTAAAGATACATGAGAATGAATAGCATAAGGCTACAATGGGATGAGATATAGAACAAAAAAGGTTCAATGGATCCTTCCAGATCGCTAACCCTGAAGTAATGTAGTCTAGTCTAACAGTCTTGCTGCTCTTCTTACTACCTCGAAGAGAAAATAAAAAAAAATACAAATAAAAGATGTGGCTTCACCAACCACCGGAAAGAGAGAATTGATTTTACTAGCATAGCAACCAACAAAGGAAATACAATCGAGTAGAAATTCTTATAATCATCAGTTTGACCAGCCACCGAAAATGAGATTCAGTTAAGCGCTATCTTTTTCTTCGAGTGAAGCGGTGAATCTGAAGGAGAGTGAGTAATTGAAGATTCAAATGATCTAGGTTAAACTTATCTTGCCAACCATGAATGATGAACCACTTGATAGAAGCCACGAAGAACAAAACACACGCTCACATGAAGCGGACATAACTTTCAGTCAAATAAGATATTAGACCAAAATCAAAACCTTGGAAGATAGAAATAAAAAAGAGAGATGGCATAGCCAAAACTTTGATTCATTACTGTCTAGAGAACATCGCAATCATCAAAACTCCTGTCAATCTGATAGGAGAAGTCGGAAGATTCAATCGTCCAAGGGCTCATCACCTAGGGTTTTCCTAGAGTCGGCTCATGTTCCGTACCACACTTCAATAGTTGTGAAATACATATAGACCAGACTTCGAGCGGTTGAGTCCCTATGTAGCACCGATACGGGTACGCGGAAACGTGAAAACGGGTACGGGGATACGACAAACCAAAAAAGTAAGATACGGATACGGGGCCATATTTATAAATATTAAAAGTTATGAGGGTGTATTTATAAATACTAAAAGTTACAGGGGTATATTTATAAATATTAAAAATACATTTTTTTGCAAAAAAAAAAAAAATAGACACATATTATCCTCTGACGTCTACTCATTCATGGCATTGAAGCATTTTACATTTTCAAGATACTTAAAAATAAGTTCATATTTATTTCATATACAGTATACACTAGTACACCTCAAAATATAAATAGAGTCAATAAGTCATTAATTTAAAATGAGAAATAAGTCAAACAACTACAGTTTTGAAATTAGAAGTGCAAGTAGTCAAAGTTCTATAATAATGAAGATAAAAAACAATATTTTAAAAGTTGCAATACATATTTTCGTTGGAGCTATTAATTTCGAAAGATGATTAGAATTAGGGATAGGAGGATGGGTGAATTAGGAATAGGCTCATTAGTTGTGTACCACATAAAAGCAACGTAAAATTATTATTAGTTTTTCATTTTTTAAGAATTTTATTATGTAAATTTTGAATGTTTTTTTAAAAAGTTATTTTTTGGAAGTTTTTTTTTTAAGTTGATACCCGTATCCGTTAGGATACGAGTATCCGAAATTTTAAAATAATTACCAAAAAAGTGGAAGCTTTTAAAATTTGCAGATACGGTCCGGGAACGTACGGTACGGGTATCCTAGAGTATCGGATACGGGCAGGGCTTGAGCCAAAGGGGGGTCAGGGTGGTCAGCCGACCCAGCTGAAAGTTTGAGAGTATAGAGCTCTGAAATATCTTCGATTTGATATATTATGGCCCCCGTAACTCATTACGAATAAAAAGTCATGACTTCTGGAAAATCAACACTATCTAAACGTAAAATCATCAAAATCTGATGTGTACTATTGATTCTCTTCCCAAATTTTAAAAATATCGTATAATTAACTCATTACTTACGTAACATGATTCGGAAGCAGAGCAGGGACGATCTATGTTATTGCTACAAGTGCCTATTTATCTAAACTACAAATGAAACATTCAATTCGGATATTGCCTAAAAACGATCTACTGTTTTCATTTATTCATAGTTGATTTTCGATCCCCTGAACTGTTTTTCTAGCTACGCCCCTGAATACGGGAACATTTCTGATACGGCGATATGGTACCCTAATAAAGTATATGTGCTTCATAGAGCGATGCAAATCATACTGGAATTAATGAGATCAAACTAGATAACAAAATTTCAATCCAATTCATAGTATTCCCCTAATTTAGTACAAGTACTTTTTTTTAGGTACCTAATTTAGTGCTGTAGTCCATTCATTCATTTGAAGGAAATGATGAACCCGATCCTTAATCACGTGAAGTTTGTTTCCCAAATATCAAGCGCTTGGGCCCACTAACGATAATTCTAATCTTTAATGATTGCACTAAGTGGTCCCCATTCCAAATAATGCACTCTGTCAGTAAGTCTATCACCACCTTTCATCTCCCTTTCCCTTCCATTCAACCTTTCCAGTTTTAACAAAAAAACTGGAAACCAGGGAAAATTCAAAACTTTAATGTTAGTAATTTACTTTAATTACTCCGTATAATTCTTCGTAAATTAAAGACAGGCAGGAAATTTCCTGGAAGTTGTTGATGATACTGAAATCTTCGGTTGCTAATAAAGCTTCAGTCAGCAGCATATGGACTCCAAGTCACTGTGGTTTATCAACCACCAGTCCTTCTTCTCCGCCGCCCAATCGGGTGACCTTGACGCGCTCCAGAAACTCCTCTCTCAGAATGATGAATCCGGAGTATCCGAACCCGACCCGAACTCGCTTTTGGCCTTGCAGAACGACGCCGGGAAGACGGCCCTGTACGTCGCGGCGGAGAATAATTACGTGGAGGTGTTCAGATTTCTGGTCGAGCTCTGCGATTTGGAGACTGCTAAGATCAGGTGCAAGGGTGACTTGGATGCCTTCTCCATCGCCGCGACTCGAGGCCACTTAGGTATTCTCGTCTCCATTTTTTTTGAAGTGATCAGAAGATTAGGAAAAGCTGGATTCTTATGCTTATTTGCTTAAACCTTATTACCTTAGGAAGAGTTATCAAATCAAGATCAAGCTTGATTGTGAAGCCAAATTAAGCTGTGGGCGATGTTTACCTTGCTTGTATATGCCCCACCATTATGCCCCCTAATGGAAACTTTAGTCAATTAGATCAAAAATGACTTCGGAATGAGGCTATAAGCTCAGAAGTCTTTTTGCAATGGAAATAATGTATTATAACTAATTTTAAATATATGTAGATGTAGAAAGAAACATAGTGGCAATACCGTTAAATCATACCAGTAATATTGAACTAGTCTTGCTAATTCATTTTTGTATTCTCCCATTGGTTGGGAGAAGTTGGATGAGTGTTGGAAACACTTATATTTGGATCTTAAGGATCTATGATAAGACTATGTTTTGGAATGCCATTAGGTGGTTTACTGACTTTATTCTAAGTCATTGATTAGCTTTTCTCGAAAAAGCTAGTTGCAGTTTGCTTAAGCATTGTTTATTTGGAGAGCTTATTTTTTAATCTGTTTATAGCTTTGCTAGTTTTTAGGCGACTGTTTATAGCTTTGCAAATAAGCTGATTAAGCTCCATAAGATTTTCGAATATACTTGCATCTTGACCTCTTTCATTCATTTAAAAAACAATCTTAATCATATCCTTGTGTCATTTTGTATGCTGAGGCTAGTGTATTAGCTATTTTGTCAAACAAGTGGCATTTGGGTTAGACAATAGGAATAAAATGCGAAGGAATTTCATGTCTTTCGTTTGATTTTCAGACTTCAATTACTAGTGTTTGGTTAACTGTGGAATACATGCAAAAACCAAAATGCCTTTTTTTATTTCTACATCTAGTACCACTCCCTTTAGAGTCTATGGTTAATTTGTCTTGTTGACTGTTACGGACCTAGCCCATACTAGGCCCATACCAATGCCATTTTTCAATACTATGGAAAAAGCAATACCATGGGTGGGTAAGGATTGTTTTTCTTAGTAGTGAAGGAAAACATATCCCCTGGGAAAATTATTCATCATCACCAATAGCATGGAAATCACTGATTTTGGAATGAAATAATTAATATGTAGTAATTAATTAGGAAAGGAAAAGTTAGTTAGTTAGTTAAGCATGTGTATCAAACCACCTGCAAGTGTAAGATCAGCACAAGTAGCTTAAAATCTAGCTTGTGAGTTTCATATGTAAATAAAAAGTATTGCTCTGTAGATTCTAATAGCTTTTAGAGGGAAACCCATTGACATTTTTTAAAGGGAAACAAAAGCTTTTCATGTGAAACGTTTCATTGATTTGCACTGAAGATATGTTCCTACCTTTTCAAAAAAAGACTTGCTGAACACACAACTAAGAGCTTAGGAGGAGCTCTTTATGTAAAAGAGCTTAAGAGAAACTGCAAGTTTATGCTTGCTAAAGTGCTAAACATGCAAAAAATATTAAGACCGGCTAGCTTTAAGTTATAATCTACCCATTCCTAGTTAGCTCATCAGCTCGTTTTTCCAACACAGCCTAATTACGTTATATAAGCATATCCAGGTATAATCAAGGAGCTCTTGTCAAAGTGGCCCGAGCTTTGCAAAATATGCAACTCGTCAAATACAAGTCCTCTTTATTTAGCAGCCGCCCAAGGCCATGTGGATGTTGTAAATGCCATTCTGGATGCGGATGTGGGCTGTGTAAGGATCGTGAGGAAGAATGGGAAGACTGCCCTGCACAATGCAGCAAGGTATGGGCTTATGCCCATTGTGAAAACGCTCATTGAGAGAGATCCGGAGATCGTCTCTATCAAAGATAAGAAAGGACAAACTGCACTTCATATGGCGGTCAAAGGTCAAGATGGTTTGGTGATAGAGGAAATATTGGATGCCGAGCACTCAATACTGAATGAGCGTGACAAAAAGGGTAATACTGCGTTGCACATTGCCACTAGAAAAGCACGATCCCAGGTAATGATCTGCTTTTTAACGACAGACGTATTTATGTTTGATGTTTTCTTTTTGAATTTTTTTTGCTTTATTTTTGGTTGAAAATAATTTCCATCATTTGCAATGGAGCCAAAGATTCATTATTTTTTGGCTTGAGAATATGATGGAATAAAGCAAAATGGCTCACTAAACTGTTTGCGCTTCTTTGTTATGGAGCAGCAGTCAGTCCATGCAATTTTGGACGCGATTTTCACCATGGGTCATCCGGAAACAGTCTCTCTGTGCTTTAGTACAGGGGTAAGACTGCGTACATCCGACCCCCCCCTACCCCACCGTAGATGGGAGCCTTTGCGGCACCGGGGTAAATGAAAATGAAATGAAATGATTTTTGGTTGAAAATATCTATAATATTAACAACATGCTTGGCAGCTTTGTTTTGCATTACACGATTTGTTTGATTTTTCTAGAAATGTAGATAACTTTTGCACATATGTAGACTTTTGTCTCAATGAAGAAAGGCATTGCAGATTTCTTTTTTGGCTGGAAATTAATGAAAATGATGCTCCCATTTTAGATGCTACCTTTGTCCCAAAAGATCCTTTCTACTTTGACTTGGCATGGTTATTATTAAGAATTAAAAAAACATATAGTTGTGGTTGATGTAGAAAGGGGGCAAGAATGTCAGCCACACAAACCATTTCTTAAAAGGAAATAGGAAGAGAAATTTTGAGACATCCCTTAAAAGAAAAGTGGGAAGAAAATTATGTGACGGAGGGAGCTTTTTTTTAACTTACTCTAAAAATGGATAATTCAGTACTTTCAGCCATTTCAGGAACAATTTATGGGAACAATTCAGTACTTGCCAAATATGGGCTCTACTAAATGTTTTATGAATAGTGACTGCTTGTGAGATATATTTCAAAAAACAATGATAATGCTTCCAACTATTTCCTTCAAATAACATGTTTTCTGAAACTGTATTCAAAAAAGTGTAATTAAACAGAAAACAGTGTTAAAGAAACATAACCAAATGGCATCGAACTCCCTTGATTTTGAACAGAAGATTTCCCTAGTTGGAAAAAACTATACCATCTTTCAATGCACATGTTGTGTAATTTATATTGGGTAATTATAATCACAGGTGGCTGTTTTTCTGCTTTTGAATGATGTGTAAAGCACTTCGAGGGAGTTACTAATCCTAAAATATTTTTTTTACATCTCAGGTTGTGAATGTCCTGTTGACCTACACATCCATTAATGTCAACGCTATCAATAATCAAAATGAAACGGCAATGGATTTGGCAGACAAACTCCAATACGGAGACTCCTCTTTGTTGATCAAGGAAGCATTAATCGACGCTGGGGCCAAACAGGCCAGATATATCGGCCAAGTTGATGAGGCAATGGAACTGAAGAGGACCGTGAGCGACATAAAGCATGAAGTACAATCACAGCTCATTCAAAATGAGAAAACCCGTAGGCGGGTTTCCGGCATTGCAAAAGAACTCAAGAAGATACACAGAGAAGCTGTCCAGAACACCGTCAATTCCGTAACCGTAGTAGCAACCTTGTTTGCCTCCATTGCTTTCTTGGCCATCTTCAACATGCCGGGCCAATACACTGATTCAGGTGAAGCCCGGGTGGCCGAGACTGTTGCCTTCCGCGTGTTTTGCCTATTGAATGCCACTTCTCTGTTCATATCCCTATCGGTTGTTGTGGTCCAGATAACACTCGTCGCATGGGATACGCAAGCCCAGAAGCGGGTGGTGTCTGTTGTAAACAAGCTAATGTGGGTGGCGGGCATGAGTACTTCCGGGTCATTTTTGGCAGTTGGGTTCATCGTTGTCGGTAGGAAAGGCAAGTGGATGGCTATAACCATCACCGGCCTGGGCGGGCCTATTCTTATAGGGACATTGCTTGGTTTGTGTTACTTTGTGTTCAGGCAGCATTTTGGTGGGGACTCTCAGAGACGGATAAAAAGGGCAACTGGTAGCAAATCTTTCTCGTGGTCTTACTCTCTGAATGTTTCTGATTTGGATGACTATAACTCCGATGATAAGATCTATGCCCTGTGAATATCACAATTATTGTCCTACTTGTGTTTACTGCAAGGTTCATGGAGGAGATGTACTGTAATTGTTTTTCAGGCCATGTAGAGAGTAGAGTTTGATAATGGAGGAGATTGGACTTTAGGCATATGATCACAAGGTAGAGTTTGATTATGTAAAAGTTTGTACAATTGTACATAGAGTGGATTGCTAATTAACTCTTAATTTTTGAAATTAATGTCTTCATGTTGTCTGAAAATTCTATGGCATTGCTTCGTGGAATCATTGAATCACATACACACTCATCAAAAGACGAACTAATTATTTTGTGATTTGACATTTTGACTAGCTATCACGAATGGATGGTATCATGGTGCTCTCAGTAAGGACGGTAAACTATCCACATTGTGTCATTGTGTTGGCTTGTACAGTACTTTTAAAATCCTTGCAAAAGAATTATCTGCTCTATTTCTCGGAGTGATCGGACCTCACAGTAATGCGGTCGAATTCAGATAAGCTGTTCATTGGACATCTTTTTTCAGAGTTAGAAGCTGTTCTCTTCGCCTGATCTGAATGTTTCTGATCTGAATTTTTTAAGTTCTGATCTGATCTGAATCTTTCTGATCTGATCTGAATGTCCCTGATCTGATCTGAATGTTCCTGATCTGATCTGAATGTTCCTGATCTGATCTGAATGTTCCTGATCTGATCCTTCTGATCTTATCTGAATCCTTTTGATCTGGTCTGATTTAAATATTTCTAAAATTATAATTATAATTCTAATTTTTATTATAATAATTAGAAATGTAATTACACATATATAATTTAAATATTGTTATAATTATAATCATAATTATAAAAAAATTATAATAGGTATAATTATTATTATACGTATTACACTAGTTATAAATATAGCTATAATTAGAGAAAGCGGTCCAGCTCAGCTGGTCGCCGACTCAGTCTCCCTTATATGAGGTATCGGGTTCGAAACTCAATGGGGTGAGTTTCAACCTAGTTTACTTCAGCTCCCCCCCCCCCAGACCCCCTCCCCGAGACGTCTCCTAGAGTAAACAAAAAAAAAAGTATAATTATAATTGTAACTATATTTTTAGTTATAATTATTTCTATAGTTATAATTTTAATTATAATTATAATATTTATTTCTATAATTTTAATTGTAATTACTCTGTGTAATATAATAATAACAAAAAAATACTAATAATAATAACAACAACCATAATAGTACTAAGAATAATAATAATCAGGATAATAATAAATATCATAATAATAATAATAATAATAATAGTAATCATAGTGATGATGATGATGCTGATGATATCAATAATAATAATTATTATAATAATAATTAGAATAATAATAATAAATTAATAATAATAATAATAATAACAATAATAATAAAATAATAATAATAATAATAATAATAATAAATATTATTATTATAATTATTATAATAAAAGGGATAAATCATGTCTGAACTTTTCTGATATGAATGTTTCTGACCTGATCTGAATATTTCTGATTTGATCTGAATGTTTTTTATCTGATCTGAATGTTTCTGATCTAATCTGATCTGAATCTTTCTGATCTGATCTGATCTGAATTTTTCTGATCTGATCTGAATAAAATAAGAATAAGCAATAAGTAATAAGATAAAGACGAACAGAACGGCTTCTTAATCACCTTATTTATAAATATAATTCCAAAATTTCCTATATAAATAAGGATAATAATAGCAATGCGGTAGTAGCAGTAGGTGTTTTAGTAGTAACATTCTCTATTTGACTACTATTGGTCAATCATTGATCATGGCCATCACTACCAAGTACCAAATATGGAAGCCGTTTGTCAACATCATTTTTCAGCTTATCAGGCTTATCAGCCAAGTTTTTCACCAAACACGTAACTTTTACTTTTTCAGCTTATCAGGCTTATCAGCCAAGTTTTTCACCAAACACGTAACTTTTACTTTTGCGCTGAATTGTGTAATAGGCAGAAAAAGTAAGGTTGGAGTTACTTTTCTGATTATATTGGCTAAAGTTACTGTAGATGGTCATTTTATCTATTTTTACATATAATTTTTTCTTTATTTTATAAATAAAATGTATTTTAAAAATATTTTTTACTTAAACCAGCAGAAACAGCCAAAGCAGCCACTTCAGCTAGAACTTCATAATTTCAGCAGAATCGACCAAAACAGCCGATTTTCGTGCTACCAATTGTCAAAAAAATAAGAAATTAAAGAATCACAGTAGGACATTACAGTATTATGCACATTACAAGTGGTTATAAAAATGAAATATTTTACATTGAATTGTGAATACATTACACTTGACATTTATCTGGTTGGCACTTGGCAGTTTCAATGTCCATGGTGGGACTCGCAACCAAGACAGTAAAATTGGAAAGAAAAACTACACTTGTAGGTATACTAACATCTACCTAATAATGCCCATATGGTTTTCCATTTTAAAAAACATTACCATATGAGCATTGTTCATTAAATATATGGGGGGGGATGACCATCACTACATTAGGTACATCCTAAGTTTGAAAAGAAGAACTACTAGGGACCGATATTTACCATTTACACTAGAGTACACGTGGACTTCCCCAAAAGAGAACTAAATTACTAATAAATTGGGCATAATGTAAAAAGTGGTAATGGGTTAATCAGCGTTGCAACTGTCCAGGGGATTTACGGGATGATCTTGAAGTTAGTCCTCCGTTCATGCCTTGTGCCTGGTTAGGTTGTTTGGAGTCTTCTGGTCTATGTACCTCCTGATCGAGAGAGCATTTTTAGCATGGACACTTTGTTGTGGAGACATAGAAATAAATAAATGAATGAATGAATGAATGAATGAATGAATGAATGAATGAATGAATGAATGAATGAATGAATGAATGAATGAATGAATGAATAAATAAATAAATAAATAAATAAATAAATAAATAAATAAATAAATAAATAAATAAATGAATAAATGAATAAATAAATAAATAAATAAGTAAAACTTGTTATGCAAAAGAAAGTGAAGAGTTAACTTGTCTCCGTTTTAGTCAACGTTGTAAAAAGCGTGAGGTGCCTATTAGCCTGTTGACCAAAACTTAGTCAAGTTTTGACATTAATTAACACCGAAAAAGGCTACAACAACAATTTTAATAATCCTGTTTTAAAAAAAACATGTTACAACAAATGCGGAAAAATATGAAAGCTACTTCATAAAGTGAAACTAAATTTTCACATATCTTCGAAAAAGAGATACAACCCAGTTATAATACAGAATAGGATAGGTTTAGTTAAACAAACAAATAAATTTTGAAAATGGTAGTATTATTACTTTTAACAGTTTTGAAGAGTCGTACCTTGACCAAATACGGCTCTTCAATTTTGGAACAAATAGATTATAATATACGTAGTATATACCACTAAAAATGGACACCCCGGTGTACATTGTAGTCCCCGCAAGGCAAGGGTAGAGCGAAAGGTCCCACCACAAGAGTGTATAAGAAGCCACCCTTCCCTTATCATTTTGACAAGAGGCCGTTCCCAAGACTTGAACCAATGACCCTCTCGGTCAAGCAGCAACACCATAACCGGTGCGCCAAGACACCCCTTCTATAATCTATATACCACTAACGACCTCAAATTCAAATAGCAAATCAAATAGAGCACAGTAAAAGAAAGCCAACCTCCGATGAAGATGTGGAGTTGTAAGATAAATGAGGTTGTGCCTTAAAAAGCACACGATGCATTTGCTGGATCTGTTCAAACTGCTGTAGCCTTGATGAGAAGTTTATCCCGTTAAGTGAATTTTCACATGCGTCGACTCCATCTGAAATGTGTGACCCACCCCTCAAATAACTTGTTTGGTAATAAGGATCGCCGGAAGCTGTTATCCTTGAGTATTCCTCACTGAAGAAGTACTTGGGAACAGTTTTCAACCTGGTCCGTAAAACCTTAAAGGCAGTACTTTGCTGTAGCAAAATGATAAAGAAAAAAGATGTCACAAAAACACGTTCATTTCTTAAAGGTGCCCTTTTAGGCTACGTTTGTTTCAAAAAATAAATTTATGAAAATGTTTTGATAGAGGCATAGTGCATTATTGTTATTATTAGTTTTCTTTATAAATACTATGTTTCTTCTTTTTTATTTGTAAATTGTAATGTATTATTGTATTCCATTTTAGGAGTTTTGAGTTTGCACCCATATTGTGCAAATTAGACTTTGCACCCCGTTTATAAAAAACTTTGTTTTGCACCCCAACCCCATATGAAAAGACAAAAATGCCCCTTCATTAACAATTTTGTTGGCCCTCAACATATTTCTGATGGAGGGCATTTTTGTCTTTTCATATGGGTTGGGGTGCAAAAACAAAGTTTTTTATAAACGGGATGCAAAGTCCAGTTTGGACAATAAAATGGGGTGCAAACTGAAATTACCCCTTTTATTTACTATTTGCCACATTTTCATATTTGGAAACCCCACTTCAAATTTTATTTCCTACATTTTCACACTTTCTCTTTCTCTTTCCTACTATTGATTTTTATAGTGATAAGTAAAAAAAAATGGAGGGAGTATTAGTTTTCTATTATCAGTAGTAGTAGTAGTGTCCTATTAGTATAGGAATTCTATTTAATTAATATTGCTAATTATTGTGATAGGTTTAGGGTTACTCTAGTATTAGCGGTTAGCCCACTCAGAATCTCGGAATAAGTATAAATAGAAGCACTCTATTCATTAATACTCTATAATCAATAACTTTGGAGTTATTCCATCAGGTCTTGACAAGGACAGCAGCCACCTTCAATTACCTTGGCCTTAGGGCGAAGAAGTTTTTTATCTTTATTGATTTCAATCATCTTTTCATCTCCAAACCACGCCCATAACATGTTTCCACATGAAAATGTTGTCTCAAAAATTAAGCTGTTATATGCATCGTATAATGTCTGACCCACAAAAAATAAAAAACATAAAACTAATTCAAGAAATTACTCCCTGTTTGAAAACAAAAAACCGTTTTCCACAAACTTGTAATTGTCAGTTCGGAACTAAAAAATTGCCAAGGGAAAGAATATGAAGAAAAATATAACATTTATTCTCTCAAACATTTATTTATTAATTCATTTATAATATTTTTATAATATTATAAATCATACAGGAAAACATTTTTCTTTCCAAGGCAAAACCAACCAAATGCAAGAAAACAACTCGCCTTGTCACTTTTTTCTTTCCCTAGCATATTTTTGGATCCAAATATGCCCCAAGGAGTAAGGAAAATATTTTCCTTTCCTGGTGCGACAT